TACAGGAACTGGGGGAAATGCAGAAGTGAGGCCGTATTTGCCACCAAACTGGTTTGGCTCCTGGTTTATTTGCTGCTTTCCCACTTCCCAGGGCCGCTGGAAGTGACTTTCCTTCACGCTGATGTTCTCCAGGGTTTGTCCACAGGCAGAGCTGTGACACTTATATGGCATTGAGGGGGGCAACAGGAGTTGCCAGGCTCACCTTAACCTTTACATCATCAAGTGCTCAGATTCAGTCCTGCCCTGCCCTGGACAGTTTATTACAGGGGGGATTTCTTGTTACTCTGGGCTAAGGTCCTGGGTCCCAAATGCTGCCTGCACCCAGCTCTGAGGCAGAAAACAGCGAGGCTCAGCAGCTTGGGGAAGGGATATCTTGGACAACCAGCATCATTCACATGCTCTCACATTTCCCTGGCCTCTTGCTGAGCTCTTTTCCTTTCTTCTGAAGTGGGGCTTGGTCAGAAGCGCTGGTATCAGGTTTTGTTGCACGTGGATGAGCTGGGAAACGGCTGCATTGCCCACCCCGGGGCAAGACCTGCAGAGCTCATGACCCTCCACCACGGAGGGTCAGATTTGTGCTTCCCCCTGCACAGCTGCTCTACTCCCAGTTTCCACACAGGACTTAATCTTCCCAACCTGATCATCCCTCTCTTGAGGTCTTTCCCTTGGGTCTTCTCCCCGGAGCGACCCAACGAGCTGATCCCCCACCAGATGACACTTGGATGAGGGTCAGCCTGGGGGGCTGTGTCAGGACACAGGGTCGCTCTCCCCCTCGGAGGCCCCCCCGGGTGCTGGAGGACACCCACGCACGGCAGCTTGTCCAAGCACACAGCAGAGCCAGGGATGTGCTCGTGCTGAGCAGAGCCAAGAGAGGCAGGATGGTGTTACTTCAGGACACGGCGCTGGCCTCCTCTGCTCCCTGCAAAGGGTGGAATGGGTTTTTTGCCTTTTTCTCCCCTTTTTCCATCCTGGTTGTTTGGAAGTGCAGGGCAGAGCTGATCCTCACCCCCCTGCATGGGACCGCCCTTATGAGCAGCAGAACAGTGAGGACGAGGACTGAGGTCTCATGCTGAGGTTTGGACTGAGTGTCCCCCGAGTGTGGGGTGTCTCTGGCTGACTGTTCATCCCTGTGTGTTTATTATGGTGGGATCTAAGCTCCTGTCTGCTCCAGTGCTGTGTACCAGACAGGAGCAATCCTGCCAGCACTGGTGTCTGTGCTGCCAATTGTCATTTCCTACCCAGTTTGGCTATTTTGTTTAAATCTCCAGCTCCTGGAGTCAGGTGAATAAGGGCAATTCCCAAATTCCATGTTAAATAGAGGCCTGTGGTGCTTCTGGCTGCAGAGGAAGCAGATCTGCTGGGGGATGCAGGCAGCACTAGGGCAGAACAAGTTGTGGACTACAGCTCTTTGCAGGTCAGACACAGACTCCTTGTGCAGGTACAACTTCAGTGGGACCAGCATTCCCTTATTTTAGTGCTTGCCACGACAGTGTTTCCAGATAGGCTTTGGAGTGACTGTGTTGCCTTGGGGATGGGAGTAGGGGTGGGATGGGGTTGGATGGGATGGGATGGGATGAGATGGGGTGGGATAGGTAGAAGCCCCATTCAGTTAAGGATCTGTCCTAAAGATTGTGGTTAATACCTATAAATCCTAGAAGTTGGCTTAACTGGGTGCTTAAGGGTCTCTTAAAAAAACCTTGGAGCTGTGTCCTTTTCTATCCCCAGGTCTCCTCCCACAGCTTCAGCAGGCAGGGTCAGGCCAGTCCACATGATCCAGCCGTGCTTGGAGCACTCCAGCACCTGGACCTGGAGCTCAGCATTTCGGAGCCGTGGTTTAGCCGGGTATTAGCTGGAGCCTTCGGACGGGCTGAGCTCAGCCCCCCCAGCTGCTCCAGAGCCTTCCTCCCACGCAGCCCTCCCCAGAGGCACTGGATGCACAGAGCTCTCTGCAGGAGCCAGGCACAGCTGTGAGCAGCCTCTCCCTGCACTGGGCATCCTCGGTGGTCCAGGGGCCGTGTTCAAGATGCTGGGGGGGTGACTTCGGATGATTTCTCATCCCACCCCTTTTCCCCCTCTGCATTATCAAGTCCCATTCTCTGTTGCTCATGAGAAGCTTCCCCTGGCCCCCTCCAGCCCCTGGGGGGAGCAGAAGCTGATGCAGACCCGGCCCTTAGTGAAGATTTCAATCTCAAAGCCACGACCTCAGCCATGGCAGGGTCTTGAAGGACCTGCAGGCCAAAGCAAGCATGTGGCACAGGATTGTGACCAAAAGCAAACAGCTCATGCAGGAGCAGCCTGTAGCAACCGTACAGTGCCTTTGGTTTGTTGCAGCACAGCCTGTCCTTTGCACTCCGGGAAGGTAAAGCCAGGGAAGGGGGAAGTCTTTCTTCCAAGCCTTGTGTGCCCACACCAGCACAGTGGCTCCCAGTAACCCCAAGGGCCACCATCCCGTGTCACCCCACAACACTGGGGACCGTGTTCCTACAGCAAAAGGCTCCTGGGCTGGCAGCAAATAGCCTGTGTGGAGTTAAAATGCTCCTGAAGCCGCTGTCTGGCAGTGATGGAGGATGTGCTGGTGGTTGGATTCGGATGGGGTGGGGGACTGGGGGGGGTTCAGGCATCCTCGGTATCTGGAGGGCTCCTAATGTTACTGAGGGGCAAGGAAGGAGCCAAGTGAGTGTCTTCTGGGACTGCATCTCTCATGCCTGTGTTCCCAGTACCAGGGCTCCTGCATACCTCCTCCAAGACCACAGCAGAGCTGCAAAGCACTTCCTTTTACCAGGATATTTATTGCTAAATATATGAATCTGGGAGCCTGTGGAGCGTGAAATTAGGAACAAATGTAAAAGGGAGGTCTAGACAGGAATTGTTCAGCTTATGGGCCTCTGCATGCTCTGCTTTCCTCCCCCTTTGCATTCTGGAGGGTTTAATGCTTCCAGGTACGCAGCTTTAATCAGAGAAGTATGTCTTGGGAGGAAAAAAAGGGTGAAATGCAAATGGTCTTGCTCCGGAGGGAGCAGTGGCTGTGATGCCACGTCTGGCTGGGCACGGCTGGGCAAGAACCATGAAAATTGGCTCTGTGTAACCCTCACTTGTGCCCCCGGCGTTTAATTAATGGGTGGGAAAGCCGTGGAGCACTCGCTGGCAGAGCCCTGCCTGCCACCTCCCATGGTGGGCTGGCAAGGAGATGATGATCCCCTCTGATGGGTGCAATGCTGGTCCCTGAGAGGCTGCAGGGCTGAGTCTGCACCCCAGAGCCAGGTCCTGTGCCACCCCCGCACACCCTGCCCTTGGCTCCAGGACAGCAGGGGGATTGCAAATGGGAGCAGCAAAGGACCCAGAGATGGGCATTTCTAGCCAGTACCCGCTGCAGCCCAAGGAACCAGAGTTTCTAAATCACTAATGTACTGTTTCCAGACCTTTCCCGTGGCCGTGTTGCTCCTCCTGAGCCTCCTCAGAGCATTTTGCCCAAGGAATGAGGGCAGGATTTGGCCCGGCACTTGCCCTGTGGCCGCTCAGTGTGAGAAGCCGTTCAGCCGTCGGTATAAATTCCCTTCCCTCCTCCCTCCTCCCTTCCCTCCTCCTCGGCAGCAACATAAAACGTGACACTGCTTTATCCATTCAGCACTCACCCAACTTTAGCAGGACATTAAGCGCCTGAAAATATGGCACGGATTTATTTTCTTTGGAAGCAGGTTAAATCCCTGACAGATACAGTTGCTTTTCCTCGGGTGCTGAAGTAATTTGGGGCTGGGGTGGCTGGTTTTTTGGTTTAACCTGATAGCATGAACTGGAGGCCAGCTTTGCTAAAGCACTTGAAGAGTAGGTGGTCAGGGTTTGATTTCTCTCTTAATTTATGCCTCTTCTCCTGTTCCCAGCCCAACGCTTGCAGCACTAAAGGGCTGCTGGAGCTTTAGCCGTGACAGTGTTAGTGCCACTGTCTCCAGAGCCCCTGGCAGGTGTAAGCAGGCAGGTACACGTCTCCCCAGCATCCTTCCTGTGGCAAAGAGCTGTGTCTTATCCTGCATGGGATGGAGAGGAATTCAAGCCCTCCCATGAGCTCTCAGGGGAGGGATGCTCAGAGCAAGACCATGTTGGCGTTGTGGGGCTTGTGCTGCACATGATGAACAACGTCCACCCTCTAAGTGAATCCAACAGTGCCAGGAGCAGGGATCTTCCACTGCTACCAGTGCTGCATCAGCAGATTCCTCCCAGATTCGTCTAAGGGGCATTCCAGGCAGAGAAGGGTGCTGGTGGTACCCCAAAGTGCGTGCACAGGACCAAGCTGAACCACAGCATCTCTATGATGGTCAGTGCGCTGTGTCCCAGCCACAGCATTTGTGAGTGAACAGCTCACCCAGGGCTGTCAAAAACATCATCCTGGGGTGCCCCCAACAGCTCCCCAACACTGGCTTCGTGAAGTGAAGGAGCTTGGTGCGTCAGACACATCCTGTTCCTAAGCTTGCTGCTCAGGGAGGGGAGCATGCCTGTCCCTGCAGTCATTAAGGGCTCACTTAGCAGCTCCAGTCATTCCAAATTAAAATATCACATTGTTTTCATGGGGGAAATGGATTATAGGCTCAGAGAAAAATGTGTACAGCTCAGAAATCCTTATTGCAAAGCTCCTTCTCCCATCACCAAAGCTCTCTGCCGCCAGGCAGGAGCCGGGAGGGTGCCACGAGCCTGGGTCAGAAGGTTTTACTTCCCTTGGGTCCCCCCTCCTGTGTGCAGAAGAGCCCCATGTGACCCCAGAGCTGCTTCTCACTCAAACTCTCACCCACTTTTCCGCTCTGCACATGCAAGGTGGCGTTTAGGGGAGAAGGGGACTCCTTGATGACTTCCACAGGTGCCCAGTGCCAGGCTCTGGCCTTATCCTGCCTGTCACCTCCCAGCTCCTGGTTTCTATCCCCCTGCAGATGAAGGTGAGAGCAGTGTTTGGGGCTCTACAGCCCAGCCCATCACCAGCCTCACCCTATCACCCCGTGCACTCGCTTTTGCAGGCTGTTAATGGAGAAGAGGGCGGATGACAGCCGGGACCGTGGTCATCACAGGTGGAATATTAGCGACTGTCATTTTGCTATGTATCATCGCCGTCCTCTGCTACTGTAGGCTCCAGGTAAGGCTGGGGGATGCGACCCCAAAGGGTGCTGCAGCAGAGAGGGAAGTCCACTGGTCCTCAGGGCTGGCATGCACGGAGCAGCCCCTCAGGGACAGGGCGGGGGGTTTGGGGTGCCAGCTGAGCCATCCCGTTTCAGTATTACTGCTGCAAGAAGGATGAGTCCGAGGAGGACGAGGAGGAGCCCGACTTCGCCGTGCACTCCCACATCCCGCCGCTCCACTGCAACCGCAACGTAGTGCTGACCAACGGCCCGTCCCTCTACACCTCGTCCCCCTTCACCAAGAAGCCGACCCCGACCCGGTCCAGCTGCCCCGGCTGCGGCCCCTACGAGCCCCCCTACGAGCCCCCCACCTTCTTCCTTCAGGAGCCCCCCGAGGAGCTGCACAACGGGGGCGACCGGGTGAGCTACAAGACGGTGAGCCAGGAGGATCTGGCTCTGCCGGTGAGCGTGTCCAACCTGCAGGCTCTCAACCCCAACCGGCTCTCGGCCATGCGCGAGGCCTTCTCCCGCAGCCGCAGCATCAGCACCGACGTGTGAGGGGCTGGCATCCTGTCACACCTCGTCGCACCTGCCGGGGCTCTGAACGGCGGGGAGAACTCGGTGAAGTTCTGAAAAAGAAGAAAAGCAAAAGAAGTGAATGTATTTCTACCAGGGCTGAACGGCAGCGTGAAGGGGTAGCGAAGCACACCCGAAAGGGGAGCGTGGGGGAGGATGGTTGCAGCTGGGACGTGAGGTTTTCTAGCGCTGCGTTGCATTTTTTTTTTTCTTTTGTAAAGAGGATTTTGATACTTGGAGCATCCTTTTCTATGGAGTACCCACCCCTCCTCACCTGGAAAGCCGAGGGACGGTGAGCAAATAGGGGGGCACAGGGTTGGCTGCAGAATGGCTCGTGCTGCGAGTCAGCAGCCAGCTGCTGCCGTGACGTGGGGGCCCTGATGTGCACACATATGTGCACACACACACACGCCCTCAAAGGTTCTCAAGCAGAGCAGAGCTGCTATTGCCCACCCTTCTGCCACCCCTTCCTGCAGTGCTCCGTGCTGCAGCCATGGCAGTGTGCATGTGTGTGTGTGCACAGCCCTGCACTATTCCCAGACCACCTCGCTCCTCAAGTCAGTCATTAATTCCCAAGTGACAGGCACAATCCCCTCAGGGCTGGGACGGCGGGTGCATGCACAGCCTATCCCTGCCCCTGGAGATCCTGGAGTGACCTCACAGTTCCCTGATGGAGGGTGCAAACCCATTGTGTTGCCTGGCTATGGGAACAACACACAGCACACTTTTGGATTGAGGAATACCTCTCTGAATAATCCTTCCCTTCTCCGAGTAATGCCATAAACAACTTCTAACTGAGGCTCTGTGTCATCACGTATGTGCCCACCCCAAGCATGCACATTTTTACATGCATTTATTTGTCTTCTTTAATTTTCTAAAAATCCTTGATGCTTTTCACCCATCCAGAGATGTGTCAAAACACTTCAGATTTAGGCAAAACCTCCTCTTTAGCATTTTTCATTGAGCCCTTTCCCACGGCCGGGCAGCCTGGCTGTGGCACCAGCTCTGTCCCTGCTCCTCCAGCCACACTGGATCTGGCCAGGGCAGTGCTGGGAGAGCAGCAGGCACAGAGCTGGTCACTGAGAGTGTCCCTCTGCACCAAGCATGCTGTAAAGGAACCCTTTTAGTATTTCAGTGCTTTAGGAGAGGAATTGCACGTTGCAGCAATGTCTACGGGGGGACTCACGCTCCAGTCTCTCCTGGCTGTCTCCATTCCTCCCCTCCAACCTCGCCATACTCCCAGTTTGTGTGACAAAAAGCACCCTGTTTCTCCTGGATTATACATTATTCAGGTTTAAAGCATCACGCTGGACCTGGGGGCGGCTGGCAGAGGACGGACTGGCTGCACAGAGACTCCAGTGGCCCCAGTGCTGTGCTCCAGGTCAGCTTTCCTTTTTCAAGATGTTACGGGAAGAAACAGCCGTGGCTCCAGCCCCATCGGCTCACAGACACTGTGCTGCAGCCCAGCTGGGTACTTTACTTTTAACCACGAGGGCTTTTAATTCCACAGGAAATCTTTTGAAGTACAAGTCAGTCTTTGCAAATGAGTATCTTCGACTTTCTCGGGGGGGTTCTGTTTGGGTTTGGGGGGGGAGGGGGCCGGGGTTGGTTTCGTACGTGTTTAATATTCTGGGCTCGGTCCCTGAGGTGCTGCATCCCGGGAGCACGATGCCTCTGCTCCGGAGGGATGCAGCCACTCGGGCCATGCTCCCATGTACAGTTCTCACCGGGGTTTGTTTCCACGCCTTGAGCCCTTTCTCTCCCCGTTTCTCGTGACCGTACTTCTCCTCCCAGCCTTCCTTCCTTTTTTCCCTTATTTCTTTCCCTTGTAGCTTGGAAACTAAGCAGACGGTTGGCTTTCACTAACCTTCACCTGGTGATCTGTTGTACAGGACTTTGGGGATCTCGGGGAGGGGGGGGAAGTAAAAAAAGAAATAAAATAAAATTAAAAAAAAAAAAAAAAAAGAAAAGAAGAAATAAACTACTTTGACATGGGTTTTGAGGCTTTTTTTTTTTTTTGTCCCTGCACCTGCAAACATGGGGTGGTGTTTGCAAAGCCCTCATGTGGACACAGGAGCTCCCTGCTGCTGAGGGGAACAATGCAGCAGCAGCTGGGGTGCACACCCCAGTGTGGGTGGTGAGCCTTCAGCCTGGCATTGGAGGGTCACACCTGGAGAAACACGGAGCAACAACCCCCTTGGGAGCACAGAAAGGCCCTTTTCTTATTGGCACCCTATCAAGTCTCTTTGCTCAGAAACTCCTGAAGAGCTTCAGGGTTGCAGTTCCCAAAGCCACACACACACAATCCTAAAGCAACTCAGAGCAGTGGTCCCAAAATCCCCCCACTGCTGGGACTTTTCCTTGCATCACTGTCCAAACAGCCATGATTCCCCTGAGTTCAAGCTGCTCTGCTTTCACTGGGCACCAGCAAGTTCATGGTCCTGGCTCCAGTGTTCCCAGTACCCCAGTACAAACTGGAGAATAAAACAAAATACCACCATAAATATGACAACTTTATTAAAATATACATATGAGTACAAATTAATGATTATATGGATAAAGTTCACTGTCTGTAAACAAATATATTAAAAAAGAGCACGTCTTTTTTGTGATATAAAGTGCAGTTATGTTTCCATATTATATACAATATGTCAGCATCGGGGGGGGTTGTAAGGACTATGGAACTAACATTTGATTATAAGATAAAATTCTCTGAAAAAGTATACACCTACATATTACAAAGAAGGGCTTGAGTTCATTTAGCAAATGAGAATCAGCTTCCCACCACATTAAATGCAGCTAACAAGAGTGTGCAGGTCTTGGGATAAATTAGGAGAGAGGCACTAATCCCCTTGGTGGAGGGAAATTTGCACTTCCCCGAGTTCACACCTTCCCCTCACCAACCCCAAACTTGCACAGAGGGAAGAAACCAAAGGACCAGACCTTGTGAAAAAACACATGGATGTACCTGCAGTTTGGGGGAACCAAATATACACGACTTTATGTACAGCTCTGATAGCGGGGGCTCCCAGCGGGCTCTGCGCTGAGCCGCGCCGGCACCGCCCCGGGAGAGGGACGAGGAGAGAAGTTGTGCATCAGTGGGGAAATAAAAAACAACCCAAACACATCCTGATCACCAGTCTGTGGGATGTGTGGCTAAATGGAACACGGAGCCCTCGCTAAGGGAGGTGCTGCCGGCACTAGGAGTGGGGCGCGCGGCAGGAGCGGCAGCAGGCTTTGCTGTAGTACCAGTGGCTGCACAGGTTCACTTTGATGGCCAAAGCACAGTTGGTTCCTGCCTGGTCCTGGCAGCTGTCGTCTGGGGGAGAGAGCACAAAAGGCATGATGAGGAAAAGAAATGAAAAATAAGCCATTGCAAGCTCCTGAGCTCATTTTCCCCCCTGCACAGCTGCCCTGAACACCACGGGCTGAGTGACACATCATCCCTGGCTGCAACTGCCACCTCCCTGATCCCTTCCAGCATCCCCCAGAGAACACCATGGAGCTTCTCAACCTGAGCAAGAAGGCTGACCCATTCAATCACACCAGGCCTGGCTTGGGGACCCTCATTTGGTCCCAGCCCTGAAGCTCAAGCTCTTTCCTGTGAAACGGAGCTGCCCAGGGATTGCTGGAGCCACCAAGGGAGCCTGGCACTGAGCTGCCCCCAAGCCAAGGGCCTCCCCTGGTAGGGCACAGGGTGACTCCAACATATTCACAATTTCTGCCCCAAGGAGGCAATTTGAGAAAGGGAATCCAGCAGTGCCACAGCCAGAGTTAAGGGCAAGTGAGATGCTGGAGACAGGAAAGAGGTCAGAGGCTGCTTCAATACTCTCCCAGCTCCTTTCAGAGCAATATTTTGCTTCAAACCCACAGAATTTCCACTTTCATATATATTTATTTTTTTTTTTCTTAAAATCCATAGGATGCATGAAACCAGGCTGGTCACCAGGTAGACAGTTGAATACAAGGTGGCCACAAGGCACCTCACAAGCTCCATGCCCCATCCTGATCCCAAGGGAGAGGGCAGCTGAGAGCACCCAGCAAGGCCAGACCTGAGCCAGGAGCCGGCCCCAAATCTGTCTCCCATTTTCATGCTTTTCTCCCACATCATCCTTATTCCCAAATCCTATTAAAGGATTAGAACCACATGTTTGCTAAAGATCACAGGGACTTTGAGCCAGCAGACGAGTCAGATAACGAGATAGTTACAGATCCCACAGGACATTCGGAGACCAAAAATCATTAAAATAATGGCACAGATGAAACTTCCTAGGCTTAAGCTGGAATCACATAGAAACAGCACCCGAGTCACCTCTCAAAGATCCATTTTATCTTTAGGTAAGGACATGCTTCTTCTGAACTCTCTCCTTAATTTAATGGGGCTACCTCCAGAAATAGCCAGTGCACCCCATTACTTGGGCACAGAGGGAGAGTTGCCCCCGTATATCCTCTCTGGGATGATTATTCAATTGGGGGCAGTGGAAGCTAAGATGCTGGCAGTGCTGCTTGGGGGTGATCCATGGAAAATCAAGGCCACAGGGTGCTGCCAGCAGTGGGGCTCACCTGGGGGCTCTGTGGGGCAGGGCTGCAGGTCGCAGGTCTGTTTGCCCACCGGCTTCACCAGCGGGTCACAGCCCCGGACGATGTCCTTCCCTTGGTAGCACTTCACATCCCGCATCCTTACACCAATTCCACAGGTTTTTGTGCACTGGGGAACAGAGAGAGGGTAAGGCAAGACCCTGCCATCACAGGGGATTGTGCTGAGCCAGAATCTACTTTAAAAAATGTGCTTGCTGGAGGTGTTAAGGCAGGAGGAGAACTCTTCCCCTGGCTGAATGCCTTGTCTCAGCACCACAACACTGGCCCCTTACTCCATCTTTGCTGCCAACACCATGAGCTTCTGCCCGGGGAGAGATGGATGTGGCCCCATCCCTGGCACTGACATCTTCCCTCCTCCTGCTGCCCCTTCGCAAGGGGCCACGAATGAGCCGGCCCAGTCCATACACTGCTCTGTAGGACCAGGGTGGCTGCAGCCAACTCAAGGCCATGGGACCCCCACAGCACCCCGGGAGTGGGGCTGCAGAGTCAGTACCTCTGCACATCCCACTGTGGGTTTGTGGAGCCACTGCTGGGCCCAGCACTCGCTGCCTGCTGCCCTTTGGATGCCTCTTCAGGCTGGGATTACAGCAGGGCTGCTTTGGCTAATTATAGGCTGTGATGATGGTTTGCAAGACTAAACAAAACGAGGCGCCTGGAGGACGGGAGAGGAAGATTGAGTTTGGGAGGGCTTGCAGGAAGCCCACGCTCGCTGGGCTGAGCCCCTTGGCCACCAAACCTCAGCTACCTTTCAGACTATGCAGGATGCTGGGGCAACCTGTGCATCCTCAATCCCTGCATCCCTAGGGCAGCCACTCCATGAGCTCTGTGCACAGCCCCAGCCATGCTCCCAACAGCGGCACCAGGAAAAAAGAGGAGGAGAAATAAAGAAAAAAAATAAATCTACAGCTGACCCCAAGCACCTCCTCTCAATCCTATTCTCCCTAAGCACAGCCAGTCCCAGTTGTACCACGGCAGGGCAGGGTCTCTGCTCCAGGCTGCCAGTGAAGCAAAAGCCCCTCTGGGTGCTCCTTCAGGGACCATGTCCTGCAGAGATTCACCCACCACCCTGGGGCATTCTGCAGGCAGTGTGACCTTTGGTACAAGGGGACAGGGCTTCACACCCCCAGGGCGAGCACATCTTGAAGGAAAAGCACTTCCCCATCTCCCTCCCATGGATCCTCCGGGCTCCCTCCCCGCTCACCTCCGACCAGGGGGTCGTGTACCACTTGAAGCACGGCCGCTCGAAGCACGTCGTCTCCTCCACGGGCTTCTTGGCCACGTCACAGTCAGCGGGGTTGCGGGTCTTGATCTTGCCATTGACAATCTCCAGGCAGAGCACGATCCTCTTCTTCACACCCCGGCCACACGTCGTGTTGCACTGCAGGGGCACGAGTGGGGCCCGATGAGATCCACACACCCCAGCCCGACCCCGCTGAGGGCACCCCCCCTCCACTGCCCCCCAAAACCAACCCCCTGTTGCAGAGGGGCTTCACTTACCCGCTCCCAGTCCTGTGCCAGCCAGTGCGAGGGGCAGTTCTTGTCCCCGCAGGGGTGGATGGCCAGTGGCTTGGTCTCCAGGTTGCACTGTGACTCGGGCACCACGCGCCCGTCGCTGGTTTTGCAGTACACGTGTCGGATCATCCTGCCCTGCCCGCAGCCACCGCTGCACTGAAACCACAGCGGGCATGGCGGGCGGTCAGGGGTGGGGAGGCAGCAGGGCTCCATCCCTGCCCCATCCCACAGTGCAGACAGAGGCCCCCACCTCCCCAACCCCATCTTCCACAAATCGTGGGGGGATTATTTGGGCTCAGCTTAAAATAGTCACAGGGAAGCTCAGCGGATCCTTCCCAGGCAGCCCCACCACAGCCAACACAGATTTAATCATCACAGAATCCTAGAGTGATTTGGGTTGGAAGGGACCTTAAAGATCATCTCGTTCTACCGCCTGCCATGGGCAGGGACACTTTCTACTATCCCAGGTTGCTCCAAGCCCTGTCCAACCCGGGCTGGAACACTTCCAGGGATGGGGCAGCCACAGCTTCTCTGGGCAACCTGTGCCAGTGCCGTGGCCCCACCGTGTTGAGCAACACTCAGCATCTCTCAGGGCAGGCAGCAGGGGAAGCACCGCAAGCAGGGAACCCCGGGGTGGCTCCCAAAGAGGTCAAGGCAAAGGGGACCGAGGAAGTGGCTGCAAATATTCCGCCCCCACTGCCCAGGGCCAGACAGGCTCTGCCCGGAGCAGCCAGTGCTCCCCAGCGCTTTCCCGGCCGCTCTTGCAGAGGCTCCTGGTGTTACATAGCGCTGCCGCTGCCATGGAAACTACTTATTTTTAGCTGATGTGAATGTATCAAAACCTGGGTAAAAATAGCTTGGGATGGAGGGGGTCTCTGGAGCTGAATTGTGCAGGAAGGGAAAAAAAGGTAGGGGCGAGGAAGAAAAAAAAAGAGAAAAGGAGAAGAGAAAAAAAAAGAGCAAAGGAAAAAAGAGGGAAAGAAAAATAAAGGAGAAAAGAAGAAAAAATTAAAAGGGGAAAAGGGAAAAGAGAAAGGGGAAAATAAAAAAAAAAAAAAGGAAAAGGGATTTAAAAAAGGAAAAGGTTTGTTTTTTTGGGCATGGAGCATCAGCATTGTCAAGGAATGCTGTGCAGCAGACAGACAAAGGGATTTTGACACCCACTAAGGCCCTCAGCCAGGTCTCTCAGGGTTTAACCCCTCCTGCACTGCATCCCCTGCAAGGCAGGACCCTCAAGGAGGACCTAGGGAGAATCTATGGGATTCACTGGGGTGCTGGATCACCACCAGTGCAGTCAGGGCGACCCAGGGTGACAGTGCTGGCAGAGGTGACACGAAGACTGGGAAAGCCAAAGCAGTGGAATTGTTTGGAGGCTGGATCCGAGCACAGGCTGCCTGCGGGTCTGTAGGAGGTGGGAGCTACCAAGGAGGATAAGCCCAACCCCAAATCTCCCAGTGCCAGAGACAAGCCAGCCTGCAAACTGTGATGGGCTGCGATGGCCACTCGGCCGGCCACTCCGGGGTCTCACCGGTCCCCAGTCGGAGACGGTCCACTGCCTGTCACAGGGTGGCCCCGTGCAGTTCTTCTCGGCCAGGGGCCGGGCGCTGGCGTCGCACAGCTTCTCCTCCTCCGAGCAGCGGATGTCCCGTGTCACCACGCTCCGCTCCCCGCACCGGGCCGAGCACTGCGGGAGGGGACAGGGGGGGACACCATCAGCCGGGGCTCCCGACACGATGGGAGCTGGGAGCCGCTGGCTTCGCGTTTGTTTGGGTTTTTTTTCCACACTTCAACATGAAACTCTAAAGGCACACGCTGAAAATGCACAAATGACTCTTCCCCAGAACCCCCTCGACAGCTTCAGCTGTCAGCTCAAGGTGCAGGAGAGCTGCATCCTGCCCGGGTGCTGTGCTCTCTGACAGGTGATGCCAGAGGGTGGGAACCCAAGGCTCCAAAAATGCCTGATCAGAGCTGAACAGTTTTAGCTGTCACTTAGAGACAGAGTGAGATCTCCCTCTCCTCCTTCCTGGGAACAGCCAGCTCCTCTTTGGAGAATGTTTTCCCCCCGAGCTGCACAACCGAGATTTTTATGCTGCAGATAAATTTGGCACTGCACAGCCCGGTGACATTATTTAGAACTGGATTTGAGTTACTACAGTCTCTCACACACACATTTGCTCCGTGCATAACGTAAAGCAGGGAAAAGTGTCAACAGCACAGCGCTCACACGCACCGCGCCGAGATGTTAATCCTCAGAGCCCTGAAATGTGCTTTTTTTTAATGCCTATTTCCCCAGCCAACTTGGCACCCCACCTCAGATGGGATCCAAAGGAGATTAGCTTTGCTGCTGGCTAAGAACAATCTACTCCAGGACTGTCTCAAGCAATCTGTCCCTGACACATGCTGGAGGAGAATACAGATTTCTGTGAAAAATAAAAAAGCCACTCTGGTTTGCTACGCCGGACAAAACGCGCCAGCACGGGCACAGGGAGCTCCTCTCTACCCGGCTGGGAAAGTCAAAACATCCTGCACCACCAGGGAATGCACCAGCCACTCCATCAGCTCCAGGGAAACTATGCACACCAGCTCGCAGAGGAACAGAGACATTGAAATTATGACTAAGATGCGTTTTGGGAGCTTCCCAGGAGGAAGAGTCATATTCCTCATGATGTAAACCATGGGGCAGGTTGGCACCCACGGACAGCTCGGCTCAGAGCTCAGTCTGCTCTTGCTTAAATAAGGTCTGTGCTTGATTTGGGAAGAGGCACCCTGAGGAAGCAGCACTGGTTTGGTCGTTTCCATGGGTTTATGTTTCTAAGGGTTGTGCTGGAACACTGTTGGTGCCTGGAAAGGAATTCAGGGCACAAACCCTTTCCACAAGTTTTCCCAAGAAAACCAGTGAGGTAGAACAGGAGCAGCACTGTGCCTTCCCAAACCATCTCAGCAGCTTTGGGGATCGGCTTAAGGCACAGCTAGGAGAAGGTTTCGTTCTCCATGTGCTGCAGAGAAATTGGAGGTGAAGAAGGGAAGTTTACAGGAATTTAATTCAGGTGTGAGATGGAATCTCCTCCCTGGCACCTTGGGGTTGAAGAGGCTGCCAAGAAAGTCATGGTGGGAGGATCTGAGCTGTGGGCTCCTGCCCTACCTCAGGGTCTCAGCAGCCCACGACTGATGGATGGCAGTGACCTCCCCATCCTATATGGGAGCCAGATCTTCATTTTAGGGGAAAAAAACCCTGCTGCACGTTGGTCCACATGCAGTGACAGCAGTGAGTGTCCGCACAGGCCAAGTGTCTGACGGCTGTGGGTGACTTTACGCCGGGAAAGGAACAGAAAAGCGCAGGCACAGCTGCTGACCCTCAGCACTGCCAGGCCAGGGACCCACCTCAGACCACTCGGACATCTCCCACTGGGGCCCACAGGCCGGGTTCTTGCAGACCTTGCGCTCGTCCGGCCGGGTGATGTCGGCGGACTCGCAGAGGTCGCTGTACACGGAGCTGTCGAACCCCGGCGAGATCATCTTCCAGCAGCGGACGATGCGGAACTGGTATCCCTCCCCACAGGTGCGGGAGCACTCGCTCCAGCTGCTCGTCTCCCACCTGCAGAGGGAAGAGAGAGAGGGGCCATCACGCCAGGCACAGGAGCATCCCATGGGAAAGCCCTGCCTGCCCTCGGCTGGAGGGAGGTGGCTGCAACAGGAGTGAGCTGTAGTCAGGCTGCCAGCACACAAGAGGTTTTCCCAAGGGATGTGAGAGGTTTTCCTAGGGGATGGGAAGCATTGCTATATGGTGGTTTCACCCAGCAGACCCCAGCTCGTGCCCACAGCTAAACACCAGCTTGTCAGGAGGAAGGGTGGCCCAGCAGGGCCTGGCCCGGTGTCCTCGGTGACAAGTGAGCGTTTGTCACCACAGGCTGCAGCTTCCCCCACTGCGACCCCGGCTGTGCCAGCACATTTCTCCATCATGCTCTTTGCCCATGTTTGACCTCTCTCTTTTCTGCCTGCTCAGCTGAAGTGCAGAGAGGACACAGCCATCCATCACCCTGCAAATCCCAGCAATAATGTCACACAAAGCTGCCTGAGCCGTGGTGGGACAGACATTCCCATCCCACCATCACTCTAACTCTGCTAACCACATGTGACAGGCTGGAAGAGCTGGGATCTGCTCCAAGCACTGCCTGTCCCTTACTGTCCCCTGCCACCACTGCCCTGACAAGAGAGGAGCAGCTTGTAAACCAAGGATAAAGACATAAAAAGTCAAGCTTTTTAAAGTACAGCAACAGAATAGCAATTTTGAATTAAATAATGAGATAAAAATGTAAAAATCTAAATGGATCAGAATTTCCAGCTCCTCTGGATGCAGGACTGCCCCGTGCAGCCTCCACGCCTCCCACTGCTGCCACTCTCCAAGCAGGAGAGCCCTGTCTCTGGCTGCCACAAGGCCTCACACCCCATGTGAGGCTCCAGGCACAACAAGCAGCCGCAGGGAGATGTCACACATTTAGAGGTGTCACTTAAATTCAGAAGGGAGATGAAACCAAGGTCTCCCCCATCCAGATCTGTCAAAATTAACATTTTCTGTTGGAAAAGTGTTGCCAGCTCAAGCAGCCTCCCATCTGCCCAAGTGCTAGGGAATGTGCTGGCTGACCTCTTTGAATTCCCAGTGCTCCCCAGTTTACCCATCACCAAGCTGCAACCACTGGTAAATCACAGAGCAGCTATTCTCCTCTACAGTGCAAACCCTTCCAGTGGAGCTGGAACAGCACAGCCATAAGGAAGACCTGCTTTATGAAAGACCAGTGGGAGAATCTGAGCATGAAAAGAGCCCTAATATTTGTGCCAAAAAATTACAGAGTTATTGCAAATAGAGATTACAGTCCCCATGGTGCCCACAGGGCAGGTGTGTTCCCAGCAGCAGCACCATTCACCTCCCCACACTTTTCGTGCCTCAGTTGCAGCCTGCCCTTGAACCTGCAGGTTCAAGGAGATCTTATACTCCATGTGTTTTCCTCCCCTGTCTTCTTTCACAATCATCCCTGCACTGGACACCTCAACAATCCCTGTGGTTGAGAGCCATGTCAGAAGACAACCTTCAGAAGGACTTCCAGCACAGGTTCCCCTCTGCACCAGCAAGCAAACCTCAGTGATGTTTGGGATGCTGGAGGAACCAGAGGGCTGGATTTGTGGCACAGTTTGTAAGCCTGGCCCTTCCACCCAATCCACTCAGATGTTCTCGGCACTCCAGCCAGGGCAGGGATGGCCCTGCACTGCTCAAAGCTGGACTTGATGAGAGCCCCAGGTGCAAACTCTGGAAGTTTTAACCTGGCAGCTTGAGCTAAAGCACTCAGGAAGAAAGTCTTGCTGCATACCCAGCACAGCTTGGGCAGATGGAACTGGGGGAGGAGGGATGGGGTTGTTACGGGGTGTCCCTGCTGCCCCCCACAAATCCACACCGACCCCCTCCCCCAAAGAAATCCACAGCAGAGGAAGCCCTCTGGGCTGTTGAGGTGGTACCTTGGCTGGCACTCTCTCCCAGCACAGAACTCATGGATGGGCTCGGGACGGGTCATGGCATCACAGTACGTGTCATCCACTTCGATCCCATCATAGCGAACACACATCGCATATGTGGACATCACTCCTAGTTTCAAAGAGAATACACACACACAACAGGATGCTTGGTGATTTTGGACATCCAAACTCTTTTTTTTTTTTTTTCCTCCCCTCTTTTTCTTTTTTTAGCTGCGTTTTTCCAAACTTCCTCCAGCAGCAAGCTGGACTTTCTGTCCCACAGGATGGATGCTGCCGGGAGGGGAGGACTGCAGTGGCCACCCAGCCAATATGAGCAGCGTGGTTGGGTTTGGCCAGCTCCAAAGCAGGCATGGCCACCCCTGCCAGGGCTTGCCACCAAAATCAATATATGACTAACACATTTTTATAGGAAATACTCAGGGCACCAAGTCTGCTTGGAAGCTCCCACCCTGCCTCGTGGGTGGAGGCGACAGAAAACGGTCCCCAACCCGCTCCATCCACCCTCTCTCTCTGTGCATTACACCCTGTTTGCACCCAGGTGCTCCCCAGGTGCATCCAGCACTCCAGGCCAAGGCAGGGCTCCTGGAGGTTTGGCAAGGAAGCACCTGCCCCTCCTGCTCCCCCTCTGAAAGTAGCGGCAGCCAGTGTCGTCAGACCGAGACCTTTTCCCCCGCAGCCTCCCGTGCCAGAGTAAATGTTGTGAAGTCCATTCTGGGACCTGGCTGGGGACCAGGAGGCTGCTCTGGCTACAGGTAACAAGAATTGCAGCTCTCAGGAACATATGGTTTACATGAAACCAAAAAAAGATCTACAGCTCTTGACATGGCCTTGCTTCTCTGCGATATGTCATTAAGAAAAGGCAATGAGAAGGGAGAAATTTAAGTAAAACCTCTCTCGGCTTGCTGCGAAACAGGGCAGAACAGGCTGGCCCAGTGAAGGGAGAAATTTGTTCAGAGAGGCTCAAAGAAGTCAAAAATGGCCCAGAACATGTGGATGACAAGATCTTGGGGAGAGGGATGGCTTGCAAAGTTCCTGTTGTGAGTGTGAGTCTGTTGGACAAGAAAAAATGCTGAAAATATAAAGTTCTTGCATTTGCTCTTTTAAGAGAAGTCCCTTAGATTGTAAACTCCTCTCTCCCCTTTCTTTCCTTCTTTGTAATTCCAGAAGCACCACAGGATCTGGATTATTTCAGGGACAGTGCAGGCGAGTGCACAACCCACATGCCTGCTTCATCACAAGGGATGGGCAGGGGCCAGGACCCCCTAACCAAGGGGTGGAGGAGGAGAAAGATCAGGTGCCTTGAAGCTTTTCAGGGGGCAAAAAGGAGGAATTTATGCAAAAAGAGGACATTTATGCATAAAGAAGAGAGGCTCAGTTTTGATATCCCTGGCATCCATGTTGCTGTTCCAGATTTACACCCTCGCAGCCGAGATCAGGCTCCAGGGTAGAAGGAGTGGGAGAAACAAAACACAATCAAAAAGCCAAATGCCATTGTGTTTCCTGCCAGAGCTGAACAATCTTCAAAATTTCACTCTGCGGGGAAGTAGCTGAGCTTTTCAAACCCCTCGAAGCTGTTAAAAAAGGGGAGGAAGGGGAAAGAAAAGGGAGACTCGGCACAGGTTTGGGGATCCTGCTGAGCCCCAGCAGGGACACAAAGCCAAGGGAAGCAAAGGCAAAGTTCAGAGCTCCCCAAAGGGAGAATGTTTTGCAGGAGGATGGACACGCTGGGCACCAAATCTTGGTCCTCAGCACACCTGAGGGGTCAGTGGGCTTTGCATGTTCAGCCCCCAGCTCCTCTCCCCGCCTTTACACCCGGGCAGAGCAGATCTGGGGTCGTGCTAAACCAGCTCCAGAGATCACAGGATCCCCTACACATCACCAGATCTTTCCCATCCCTAACAGACATAAAAGTGACTCACACACCAGGTGATTTCAGCGGTTGTGCAGAATTTGGCTGCTTCATATAACTACCTGTGGTACATGTAGAGCTGCAGGGTTCATGGGAGGAAAGCTTCCACCTGTACATGTCAGCAGCACTCACACCTTGGCCCTTTCTTAACAACTTCAATCTGTTTCTAGCGATAAGCAAACAAAACAAAACAAAACAAAAAAAAAGAAACAAAAAACAAAACAAACAAAAAAGGCATTTACAAGGCGAGCGGTGACAGGCCACGACAGACACACACATCTGGCTGCAGTTTGGTTGGGTTTGGGTTTGGGAGGGGATGTGCTTTGTTTGGCTTTGTTTGGGTTTGGTTTTTCTGATTTTTCGGGAGGTTTGTTTGTTTGAATCAATTTTTGTTTGTTTGTTTGTTTCACAACATACCTGTCCTGAGCCCCAAGTAGAATCCCCAGCCCGGTTAGAGGCAGAGCTTCCACTGTCTAGAAATAGAGAGAATGGGATAAAAATACCCACAAGTAGAAACAGTTCAGAATTTAACAAAAAAGTTTGCATTTTCTGCTCAAATACACCTGGCCCTCGGCATACAGTGACTAAAGGTGCAGTATCTCCTCCCCTGTGTCTCCAGGGCTGGGCAAACCAACTCGTGCTGCTCAATGCAGCAGAGATTTCGGCTGCTCCAATCTCCACAGCTCACTCCTTCCCAAAGCCAGCACATGGCACAGGAGTTTACGAGCCCGTTTCTCAAAGCCCACTTGCCTGCCCGCTGCTTTCGCCACTCTTCCTTTGCTTTGGCTCATTTTGGTTTGTTTTAGGTAGGTAATTTGCATCTCTCAGATCCACACTGTGCTCAAACACAGAATGCCATGGGGGGAAAGGAGTAACAGAGTCAGCCTGGTGTACAAAAATGCATTTATCAAACCAAGAATAGCAGCTTCTCCCCGTTCAGTGCATCCTCCAGGCTGTGAGGGCGTAACACATTAGGGATACTGCACCTTTACAACAAAAGGCTTCGATTCTGTTCTCATACCTTTGTTCAAACCCTTGAAACAGCTACACTGGAATAGCATACAAGGTTGTATCCTGATATCCAGTTGTCTCTGGCCTGGCGAGATATGCAGCTTGTATGATTTCTAGGCAGCAGAAGCTCTGAAAATTGCCTTATTTAGTTGTTTGTAAGAAGAAGTTCAGGTCCAGCCTATCAAATCAACCTTTAAAAGGACACTGTTGAGAATCCAGCCATTTCCTTTCGGACCCACCCTCCTTCCACCGCCAGCACTGAGCCTCCAGAAGGATTAAAAACAACAACAATCTCATTTTCCCTGTTGATTTTGCCTCTGTCAGTTTGGCAAAGGGTCGCTTCCTGCGTTTGAAATGGAACTGAAACGAATGTGACTTTTTTTTTTTTTTTGGTGGAAAAATAGCAACCTCAACTCGCTATAAATAGGGTTTTATCTGCCACAGCAGCTCTGCTTGGGGACCCACACCAGCCCCTGGTCCCTGCCACGTGCCACCAGCTGCCACCCAGCCAGGAGAGGGCTCACAAATGACACTTGTCAGTGAGATCCATTAAAACATAGCCAACACCTGCTTTTTGTGCTTTAATTTGCCTGGGAAATTGGGTATTACCTAGATCCTTCACTCTATACCCTGCTCTAAGGCACCAGTGTAACCACCAAGTTATCCTGTGACCCAGACTCCTCTCCCTTGAAAAGGAGAAATTCTTCAAAATAAGTTTTATCCTACATCTGAGGACAGAAAAATCTTTCAACAGTGTCCCTTTAACATATGTGATCCCAAAAAAGAGCTTCTATGCATAAGGAGGTCGCAGGGACAAGTTCTTTCCAGAGGAATCAGACATTTGGGCACAGGGCAGAGTTCAGCTCTGACCATTTCCAGCAAAGACAAAACTGTCCTTTTGTTCTCTTCTAAATGCAAACAGCAGCTCATTGTCCCATAAAACTGGGGAGATTTTTATTTTATTTTTTCTCTTTATTATGAGCTTTATAATGAAATTAAGTATTTTCTTCCCTGCCTGTGCTTTTCATCTGCTTTTCAAGCAACAACAGCACCAAAAATTAGCACCAGTCCCTCATCCCTAGCTGAGATCTGGGCTTTCCCTTTTCCCAAAAGGGAAAGTAGAGGAATAATCCTGACAAATACACACAAACACCACAGATCAACATCCAGAGTCCCTGGGCTCACAGTTCTCTGTGTAATTTCAGGGTTTTTTTCTAAGCAAAAGGGTGGGTTCTCTTGCAGGATAAGCCCTGGCTGCACACCACAGCATGGGATGAAGGATGAAGGGTGCCTGGATCTGTCCCACACATCCTAGAACATTTTTAAACTGCTCCAGGACAGGAGAAGCAGCATTGCATCCCTACCATGGCCCAAGAGCCACCCACCCATCCCCATCCCAGTGGGGCTTGTTCCTAGAGAGGGAACACCTCTCTGGGAGAGCTCCTGCAAGGTGCTCCTGTAACTGGGTAAATCCATCCACACTAAGACCTACAAGAGTTCAGAAAGCAATAAACTCCCCCACCTCCAACCAACACTGTCCCACACGGACAGACTGGCTGCAAAGAGCTGATCTTCCCTTGCTTGTTCATTGACAGGGAATGAAAATGAGCAAAAAGGCACCATCCATCCCAAATTGAGCCTGGGATGGATTTGGGAGGTCTCAAGTCCAACCTCCTGCCCAGAACTAGGCTGACCCCAATAACAGACTGGTCCCACAGGGCCTTGCCCTTCTCCAAGGATGGGGATCCCTGACCCTGCCCCACACCAGGACAAAGAGGTTTTCCCTTGTCTCCAATCCCCATTCCCTCCAGCACAGTTTCTGGCTGTCCCTCCAGCTCCCTTCCTCCTGATGGGACAACTCCAGCCCCCAAAGCTCTTCCCATGCCTTGTGCTCCAGCCCCCTGCCCATGACACACCAAACCCAGAGCCACATCTTGCTGTCAGTACGGGCATTTTGTAACATTTCCACTCAAAACAGCCATTAAAGGAATCCTGAAGGTCCCAATATCAATCAATGAGCTGCTACTGCAGAGCTTGTGATATTCCTGTCCAAGCAGTGACTCCTGTGCTGCTTCTGCAGCTGTTGAGGCAACAAACCCAGGCTGCTCCTGCAGGACCTGCAGTGGAGCTCCTGGTGTCCTGCTCTGCCTCTCCAACACCTCCCAGGCAGGGCCATGCCTGGGAGGTGCTGGAAGGACGTTCCTGCCATCACATGGGAGGAGGATCATAGGTGGCAGTCAACAGGGTGGGTAAGAAGGGGCCAGGACCAACTTCTGCTGCATCAGAACTCAGAGGAAGGGGCTGGGGAATAGGAGCAGGATGTCAAGAGAAGGCAAAAGGGGCCACGGCTCTGACAACAAGCTGTGACAGCAGAGAGCAAGGTCTAAGCTGACAAATGTCAGCATGGACTTACCAACACGCCCACTAAGGAGGACAATTAGCTTTCCTCTTGATTAAACACTCTCTTGACTTTCTGCTCCCAAACCTCTGGCCCTTCCTTCCAAATTAACTCCCAACAGAAAACTTACACGTACATCATCCCACCCCCACTTACCTTCTGCTTCCAAAGCAGAGAGAAAACATGCAATGGGGTCTGCATTCAGCAAAGGGCTATTATGAGTTGAAAACAACACTAAGCAGGAACTACTTTAATTAAAGACTCGTGTCCTACCTTGCTTTGTGGGTTCTGTTCCCTTGAGGGCTGCTCACGGTGACTGTGGTGTTTGAAAACGGTGTCTCTGCCGACGTGTTGGTGGCTTTGCCGTTGCTCAGCTCCAGGTAAGTGCTGTTGATGGAGTAGGTCACAACCCCATCAGTGTCCTCGTAGTCAACGTAGAGGCTGTCAATGTGTGACCCCACGGAGTTGATGGGGTCTCCCTGGGCAAAGATGCTGTTCATGGTCATGTTGAGCACCAGCTCCTTGGAGTCCGAGGCCTTGTCCAGCAGCTTGTCCGTGATGGCATTCTCCAAGAGGAACTCCCTGGAGGCGAACCTGGGGTCGAAGTCTCTGTCGTCATGGTCTGTCTGGTAAGTAGACCTGGTTACGTTTGAATCTAGATTGGAGCCAACAGGGGGGAAACAACAGTGACAACCACAAAATGCACTGAGCCTGGGAGGGGAAAGCAGCCCGGAGCAGCGGGGACACGCCTGAGCAGCCACCCAGGGGAAGAGAGGCAGGAGTTGGGTTCTTGGGGAGGGGGAATCTCGTGGGATTGTACCCCTTGGGGAGGGTGTGCAGCTTTGTGGGTCTTATTCCCTCTGTGGTGTGGCCAGAGGAGAGCTCAGCACCCGCCAGCACTGCCCCAAGCAGTAGCAGAGGTCGGAAAGGAAGGTGCCCTCCTGGCCCCAGAGCACATGCAGCCATGCTGGGAAAGCACTCAAGGCAGTTTGGGGGTGGGATGCCGAAGGGACTCGAGTGGGAAGGAGGTTGCTGGGGGCTGGGGAGGGGTGGGTGTTGACATAAAATGTTGTGACGGGGAGTTTTGAGTACCCAGGGCTCCCTCCTGTCCTCAGCATGAGGCAAAGCACAGCAGGGCATCAGCGGGGAGATTTTACCCCCATCCACCCTCCAACCCCCACCAGAAACCAGAACCTGAAGGGCAAAGAGGATTTATGAGCAGAGATGTTTTAAAGAACTTTCCGAGGTTTCCGAAACACAAACCAACAGGATCACCAGAGGTAGAAACAGAGCGTTTCTCAACAAGAGCTCTGAGAAGCAGAACAGTGAGGCCCAAGTCTCCTCCTTACCTTGGGGTTGTTTGCCCTTCAGTTTTGGCTCACAGTCAATTGTTTCTGCTCTTTCATAGACCTCATTGGTTTCCTGACCTTTGCTCAAGTTTAAATCTTCCTCCGTGTCCTGCCTTCCAAACACCTGGTTCTCCAAGTCTATCCTTTCCGTGGAGATTTTCCCAAAATAGGTTGCATTGTGCTGGATAAAACCCAATGGCACGTCCCCATCGAACTCCCTGCTCTCTTCACTATCTGACTCGGAGAAGGTGTAGTAGATGGGCTGCAGATTTTTTGAGTGTGGCTTCCTCAGGAGAGTGTATTCAAACGTGATGGATGGGTTCTTGCCATTTTGATTCCAGACCTAGCAAACAAATTAAGTTATTAGCAGTTGCAGTGAATGTATGGCACACAGAGCTTGTGATTCATTTTGGACTTGACAGTTGGTGAGCACCTACTTTGCTATTTTCCAATCTGCTTTCCTTCACATTGCCAGCTTCTTCCAACTGGAGCCCACCACAATTTTCCAAGGGTTATTTGGCATGGGGATTAGTCCCAGCTCAGGGACTGTGAGCCACAGATCACACCGAGTGACTTAGGAAAGCCACTTCAGAACTTACTGACCAAAAAGGCAAAGCCTTTTTTTTGGTGGCTTCATGAAGAGCACACACACCCTTCAGCTATTATACCCACAGTGGGGCTGGGGACTCCCAGCTGAGAACTACAACCTCTTACTGGTCTAATGTTTTATAAGCACCCAGGCAACCATCGCTTCCCCTTCCAGAGGAGCCTGGGGCTACATGGAAGCTCTCAGGAGCTGGGCTCTGGCTGGCTGCCCAGGAGAAAATTAAGGGACTTTTCTCCAAATGCCTGGTTTTAGATGGTTTGCTTTCAGGAAAGAATTGGGATTTAAGTTTTATGCACTTGTCTAAGCTCTCTGGCCCAATTTCTTATTTTCACTTTTCCTGCCAGGTAACTTGGATACAAGTGCCAAGGAGTAGAAGAGAAATCCCCCTGCAGTGCCTGAGGCATCTTCTCCCTGCAGAGAGGAGTTACCAAGCCCACATTCATTATTCACAGCCCTGCCTGCACCCGAGAGCACCAATACAGATTAAGTAGGTTTGTGTAAGTAATTGGTCACTGCTCCACTCCCCTCCTCAAGCTGCCCATGTGGCAGGACTCTGTTTCCATGGCCACCCATTCTTTGATCCAATGCAGGTTTTCTCTTCCCCATCACCCCCAGCCTTGAGAACCTGAAAAAAACCCCAAAAATCAAAGCTCACCATTATGTTCAGCCCTTGATTTGTTGGTCCTTGGGCAACAATGTACTCGATGCCGGTCTCGTACACGTCCATGGGCCGGCGGTACTTGAACACTGTGCCTGCAATGTTGAAGTTCTTTGGACTGTCAACTTTATAGTTCCCATTGAAGAAATAGTACCCAGCTTCATCAGCCACAGCTTCAAACGAGAGAGAAAAGTCAGGGCCATCACATGCAAGAGCAGAGGTGTGTGATACCACCCCTTGCTCATTCAGGGGATAAAATTAGAGTGTCACAGTCGTAAAACAAGCAATTCTCCTACACTGCAATGCATTGGTCACTTATCTCCAACACAAATCACACGAGTATGTGCCCAGAGTTCTGGGCCATGTGTACACTGCAAGCTCCTGGGTATGTGGCTTTCACTTGCCCATGGCTACTCTCACCCTTTTGGCACCAGCACAGGGTGAACATTTAACAATCCCAGCCCTGCAGACAGAGCCTGTCAGATGGCCAAGGGCAGGAGCTGTCTCCTTGGGAGCCCTGAGCTGATGCCACCTGAGCCAGCAGTGGCCCAAATAGGTCACCCAGAGCTAGCCCAGGAACTGTTAACTAAATCAAGCCTTTTTCATTCATAGAATCATCCTAGAATAGTTTGGGTTGGAAGGGACCTTAAAGCTCATCTTTTTCCAATCTCCTGTCATGGGCAGAGACACCTTCCACTAGACCAGGTTGCTCGGAGTCACATCCAACCTGGCCTTGAACACTTCCAAGGGTGTGGCATCCACCTTCCTGCACATGGCACGAGCCTTTGAGGCAGCAGAGCATGACAGCAGCAAATGTGCTTCTCTTGGGCAAGTCCAGATTTTTCCACACTGCTCCCAAGCAGCTTTGCCACCTCCACCATGAGATGGATGGTGTGGCCACCAACAGTTCAGTGAGGCAACATGTAGATAACATCCTCCTGGTGCTGTTTTCACGGGGCCATTGCACATTCCCCATGTGGGAGAACGTGGAGGGAATCACAAGAGAGGTGAAATCACTCTGCCATCTGTGATCCAGCACCAGAGTGTTTGTCACACCACACTGAAATCACAATAATATTGACCAACAGTTCCTGCACTAAAGCAATCAAAGTGTTGATAAACACGGCCCAGGTGCTCAGAGACTGCAGAGAAGAGCAACACACTGGCTTAGACAACACGGTTGGATTTGCACTGACTACAGATTTAGCTCATGTCTGCAATAAATGGACTCGATGATCCTTGTGGGTCCCTTCCAACTCAGGATATTCTAGGATGACAAAACCGCTTCCAGCTTCGCGTTGGAAAAAGCATTATCCAGCATAGGCATGCATCCTAGGGAAGCACCAAGAGGTTATACACACCCAGAACATCTGCAGACTTTTTCCGTTCCACTATCTGGATATCCCTCGCTCCGGCGGGAATGTGCGTTACCAGAGAGTAGCCTACGGGAAACTACGGATTAATGAAAGGATCTTTGTAACACATAATCTGAATGAAACACTCCACAGTCCCTGCAACATAGTAAACACTCTGGCCTGGGCCCAAAATTATTTTTAAGGAGTTATGGATTTAAAAAAGCCCCTAATGTTGGTAACTGTTAAGCTGAAAAGATGATCTTGTCGGTAATAGGAAATTCATCCTGGTTTACAGGGGGAAAACGCATCCAAAGGGGGAAAGGATGCAATCCTTACATGCACAGATATCATGTTTATCAAAACTGGTGTAAGAAAAAGCTATCTTCAAATACATTATCAGCTAGAGAAGCTGTCTCATGGTTCAGTATTGATCCCATTGTCAGCCAGTCTTCCTAAAACACCTGCAAGAAATTACAGCTGGTTTCTCCTCTGATTCCCCTTTGCTTAGCACTAGGCAAGAGATGGGATGGGACAAGTCCTCCTACATCCACTGAGGTTCCTGCAGCTTGCTCCATCTCAAACTGATCCTCGGAGAGCATTAATCACAGTTCCTGAGTTAGACTGCTATATTTAGGACAAGTAGGTTCTGCTGATTTTTGAAATCCTGGTGTTTCAAAATATCATTGCTTCCTGTTATTACAAATAATTTATTTCTAGTCTTACTGGGTCATGAGTGTCCTGGTTTCGGCTAAAATAGACACCACCCTCTTGCATAACCCTCTTGCACCAATCAAAACCAGAGACACCTCTGGTTTCTGACAACCCTCATGCTAAATTCCTGTTTGGTTGTTTGTTTTTTTTTAAACAAGGCTTTCTCTGCCCAAATTTACAAGTGGCATTAACAAACACAGAACACGTGGGGAAAAAAAAAAAACTGAAGCTGGGCAGTTGGTAAAGATTGAAAGCCATTTACCAAGGAAATAAGTACATTTTAAAAACCAGCCCTCTGACACAAATAAAGCCCACGGTCCCCAAGGCCTCACCAAGATGAGAATTTCCTTTCCGGTAACTGCCGGTTACGTGGGTGCAGCTGCTCCCATCTCCTTGGCAAACTCCACATTTATCCAAGGTGTGGGTGGAAAAGAGAATGCCATCACAGCCAATGGGCTAAAAAATGCACAAACAGAGCATTGAGGGTCAGGCAAACGTTGCACCATCGCAATTTTCTGAATGCTACTAACAGTATTTTTGCTATAATGTTTAACAACCTCACATTTTCCAGACACGCAAACCCCTCGGAAATCAGTGTATTTGCAGGATGTTCCATCCCGAGCCTGAACCATTAACTGTCTCTGGCCATCCACAGTGGTGCAATGAAGGTCACAGGGCTTGCTAGAAATGTGAACATAGTCATCTAAGGGGAAAGGATATAAAGAGAGATTCAAAACCAGCAGAAACACAATAACTTTCATCCTACAGAAGTCAAGGAACCTCTGCCAAGCTAAACAACAGCAGCAACAGAACAACTGCAGAGCAGCCAACAGTTCAGAAGTTGCCACCTCTTGTGTTTCAGGCTAGACAGGAGATGGCACTTCTGACAGTGTAACAGCCCTCTGCTGCAAGGCTTTGCACAGCCTGGCAGACCTCTCTGCTGCCAGGAAGAGATGCCCAAGGAATGCCAGTGGCATCACCAGCATCAGCCCAGGGCAGGCACCAAAGCAGCAACACTGCTCTGTGCAGAGACTTGCACAAAAACACGCATGTTCACATAGCAGCACTCCATACAGGAGTTAAATAAACAGATGTATTGTTAGAAAGACATAAGTAAGCCTATATTCAAACCCATAGCAACTTAAAACATTTTATACTATATAACTTTTCCATAAACGTTCACCCCATGTTGGACTTAATTCGCCCTTTCCTTTCTGCAGACAAAACTGTCTGGCAGCATCCACCAGCACAGCAGTCCCACATTTTACAACATCCACAGGAAACAAATTACAAACTCATATTTGCATCAGAAAACATGATGCCGAGTGTTTATCTCCCCCAAATCCTGAGCAGCAGTGTACCCACTGGCCTGTGTGCCCCAGCAAGGCAGCACCAGTGTCAAAACATTACTGTGCAAATCCCCCAGGAGCCACGTGAGCACCTGCTAAAACACAAAGCAATTCACTGCAACATCCCTGGTGAATCAGCCTGAGGAGCAAACATGTTTAGAGAAACTGTCACCTTGCCACAGCAAAGGGACAAAGCCACCAAGGAGCTGCAGCTCATGGGCCAAGTTCTACCCTGCTGACCCTGCTAGGGCTGGAGAGGGAAGGGCTTGTTACACAGTAAAGGAGGCAACAAGTGATTTCATGGAGAGTAACTGTTCTTAGGCATGGACAGAGACCACTAAAATAAAGTTGCAACAGATCCCATCTCTATTTTTAGGCACCCAATGGCACTGTGAATCTGAAGAACCAGCACTCAGCAGTCTCCTCGACAGGAGAAGGGTCTTGAGTACCCAGTAGCTCTAAAACTTGGCCATGATTTGTGTTGTAACACTTGGTTCTGATGGGAGTTTGGTGTCTAACATTTAAATAAAACCTCAGTCTCTGACTCCCAGGTTGTTCCTGCAGTTCTGTGTCACTCACCCCTGGTGACCAAACCGACTGACTGAATCTGGGTGACGTTTGACAGAGCACATGGAGGGCGTGGGAGCGACAAATGTCACCGAAACACAGCACAGCCAGCAATGGCCTCATCTCAAAGGACACTCGTCCGGGTGAGCCTGACCCTCCCTGCCAGCACAGCCCATCACCCCATGCTCTCACATCCTCCTCCAGCCCCTCTGGTCCCCATGAGCTGAGAGCAACACTGGCTACAGCCTCAAATTCATGTTATTATTCAATTTTTAAGCTACCCTGCAGCTGCCAAACATGCCTTTGAAGTTGGGACAGCTGATTGTGCCTCTGAAAAATCATTTTGAAACAGCAGAGGAGGAGCCTTCCTGCAGGCTGTAGCATCATAACTATCAAAATATTTGGCTGAGCATTATGAAACACACAAAGAATGTCTTGTTACCAGGATATAAAGGTTTCCATTGATATGTTCTGCCATTATACACATGGGAGTTAAATGATGAGCACTGCTCCTCTCGGAAGCTCCTTCCGTTCGCAGGGCACTCCTAGAATAGGATACATTAACATCCTGATGGAAACAAAGTGCAGGAAAAGTTTCTGGCACATCACAACCAGCTGCAAGGAGTGTTTCCACCACCTTCCCCATCCAGGGCTATATCCTCCTCCTCCTCCTCCTCCTTCTCCTCCCCCCACTGCAGGAACAGCCAGGGGGGCCCCCTGGGAAATGGTGCAATTACTACCAACGCTGGGGTTTTATGGTCTCCAGCAAAGGTAAAAGGCCCAAAGTCCTGACATAATAGTGATGGGCATTAAAGAAGGGGACTCCCAGTTGCTTGGAGGGGCAGCAGGGTGACAGCTACAGGGCAAATAGTGTTGCCTCTCCCAGGGACCCAGAAATGCCATACATGACTTCCCACACTGATTGTTCCCAACAAGACAAAAGATATCCTTACTTGTACTTTGCAGAGCTGGTATCTTTTGGATGTCCCAGTGCAAGTTTTATTAGCCAGCCCACTCACCGATTTTCTTCTGAATAAGGAGATGATGGTTAGACAAGGATCAGAAATAATTTTCCCTTTTTTAGATATATTTGTCCCTTGTCTCTGTAAGGTCAGTCTCCATGTAGCAGAGAGATCTAACATAATCTCCCTGGAGTGGGTAGCAAAGGTCTCTCTGGCTTTGTTACCTGCAGCATCAACTATTCCAGCAGGTATCATGGGGATGAGGGCTGGGGACAAAGTTTACAAAGTGCTTTTTGGTGACCACACAGCCTGGAGAGAGCAGAGCCAGGCACAGAGCACCTGGGATCAGCAGGTCCCCAACCAACCCTGCACCATAGGGGTCCTCACTGCTGTGCCCAGAAGCCTTGGGAATGGGCTCACAGTGTGTCTGCTGCCTGCTGCACTAATCCCTGCTGGAGACACTGCAGGGCCAGCACAGGAGTAGCTTGGCTGGCAGCCCTGGCAGGGATGCCCAGGGCACAGCACCCTCAGGGACACTCCTTCTGCCCAAACAGGGGTCAGACACCTTTCTATCAGCCCTTATTCACTGAGCAACAACATTTTGGATCGAGTTTACCTCCAGCAAGCTGGAGTCTCCTCCCCCCCCCCCTCACCAAGTGAGTGCCGTACCTCTGCCGCAGGCAGTGCCTCTCCTGGGATTTGACACCTCCCCCACAGGTCCTGGTACACGCCGTCCACTTGGTCCACTCGCCCCACCAGTACGCCGTGACGTCTGCCCCCTCCTCCAGGCTGTTGGAGGTCTGTGTCAGGTCCTGCTTGGAGCAGGTGGGGCAAGAGAAGCAGCAGTCAGTGTCCACACCCCGGAGCCTGGGTGAGGGGACTGAGGGCATCCCCCTCCCAGCCTGCCCTGTGAGATCAGAGCATTGCCTTCTCCAGCTGAGGTCAGCTCTGAGGTTTCCATCCTGCAACAAGTCTTGCATTTTTCCAGTTGTGTTTTCATTACAAATTGGAATGAAAAGGCAATATTTGGGATTCCTCAGGAAAGGAAATGCTCATTGTTTCTCTCAGTTGGCAAAACCAAGCTCCCAAATAACCCCAAACGCTCCAAGACTTTTGGTGCTCTCTGACTCTTGTTCCACAGAGAATTCAGGGAGCTGGAAAGCCAGTTGCAGCCAAAAGCTTCACTGAAAGCTTCAGCAAACCCTTGCAAAACCCCTCTGCAGCAGGAGAGCATGCTAGTGGGTGCCACCGGGTGCCAGCAGGCTGGAGGAGCCTGTGTACTCTCTTTGCAAGCACAGGTTTGGCACATCAGGAGGGTCCCTGACACCCCCACGTCCCACCTCCTGGTGCAGCCATGCAGAGGCCAAATGAGATGCATCCACATCCCTTACCAAGGGGCATAGAGCCTGCTGGGGGATCCCAGCTATTGCTCATTGCAGTGGGAGGGACTTAATTTTCCCCCCAGAATCACCTGCTGGTTAGGGGAGTGCTATAATTTCTGTGCTTACTGAAAAAGGGATAAAATTATTCCATGCAAAGTAAATGAAAGCTCCAGCCACTGCAGGGACCGAGGAGTGATGCCCTAGAGCAGGGCTCAGCCTTTCAGAGTCCTTGAAATGACCTGTGAATACTGTTAGCCATGAAAGTACAACCTTATTATTGTCCCCTAAAAGGTACAACTTACAAGCCCAAACTAAAGAGCTAAGCCAAGTCAGAAAGCTCCACGCTTTCTGGAGACCCAATGCATGCACAGAGCAGTCCTGCAAAAGCCCCAGGGTTTGCTCTTTCAGACACTGCAGCATTTTAAAGCCCAGGGACCCCCTGGAAGGTGATGTTCTTACCTGAGCTATCACAAATAAAACGTTGCCCGCAAGAAGAAGGGCCAGGGTGCCTTTCAGCTGCGATCGGGCACTGACGGAGATGCTGCTCCACCTCCACTTAGGTACCTTCATCCTAGAAAGCAACCAGACACTGCACTAAGCAAAAATCCCACCCAGCCCCACCACCAGCAGCAGGGGCTGCTTTGCTGCCTGGGTTACACAGCACATGTGTTCTCCAGCATTCCCAGTGACACCAGCCTCCAGTGACTGCAAGGGCTTGAGCCTAAAATTATATTTAATTAGTGGAAGCATTAACACAGTACAGGTTCACTTCCCAGCTCGGTTGTTCTCTGTCAAACCACAACTTTGCACGGGTTTCCAGTGGCTGCACCTGACACCACTCCAAGCCTGTCTTGAAAGAGAGCACGACTTACACCACAGCAAGTAACTAGAAGTGTCCCTGGATCCATAAAAGCAGTGCATTTAAATATCCTCATTTACAGAACTGGTCCTGGAAGAATGAGATGAAAGGCTTCATAAACAAAAAAGTGCAATTAACAGCCATTATTTCTCCTTTTTTTTTCATTTGTTCCACTCCAATTCCCATCGATTCCCAGGGAAGGAGCCTGTTCTTATAGAAAAGAAACGCCCCACAATTAAAGAGCAGAAATGAAGTATCCCAAGTGTCAGCCTTTCATCTCTTTCTCCATCTGCCTCATGAAAGAGAGTAACCCAGAATGGCATTTTCTTAAATAAAACCCAGCTCAAAACCACAATACGTTTTATTGTGAACCTCGCTGCAAGAGCCAGAAAGGAGCAGGTTTCAGGAAATCATGCTTCCAGGCAATCAAAGCAGCTCACGTCTGTAAGAAAAGGAAAGAAAAAATATCCTCCCCTGAGCTAATTTCCCTTGAAAAGCAGCTAGACAGTATCTTTGGGAAGCAGGGGGGTGGGAGAGGTGCTGCTCCTGAAGAGAGGGGGCAGGACTGCAGACCTGCAACATAAAGAGCTTCTTTCCTACCGCTTTTTTTTTTTTTCTTTTCCTCCTTGCAAAGGTTTTTGTAGCGGTTTTGGAAATGCAGAATTGCCGGCAATACCAGCACTGCTTTGGTATCTGGCTTAGAAAAATTACCAGAGGGTTTCCAGGTCCCCAAATGCGCTCTGCGAGCGCCCTAGAGAAGAGGTCCAGCATGCAAAAGAGACTTTCCAAGAGGCAGATCCATTGATTAATGGGAGCCCAGAGCGCTTGGCCGGGGATCTCGGGGACAGGTGGCTGAGACTTGCCTTACACTTGGTTCTCATTAAGGCTCCCAGACACTCCTGACTCGAAGCCAATACCAGAGCGCGCTCGGAGTTTATCCTACAGGCGGTCGGGGCTGCGTGGTTAAATAGAGGAAAAATTAAGGAAAGCGGGGAGGGATGTGGCCGAGCAGCATCGCGGAGCCGGCACCGGGGGAGCGCCGGCGGCAGGAGGGAGATGCGGGGGCGATGATGCAGAGCCGGGATGCGGGGCTCGACTTCTGCGGGGCGGGCAGCGGGGAAGGGTCCGGAGGAGCCGGGATGGGACGGGACAGGACGGGACGGGCCGTACCTGGCGGCGGCGGGGCCGGGCGGGACGATGCTCCGGGGCCGGGCGGGAGCGGCGGCGGCGCGGAGCGGAGCAGCGGCGGCCCCAGACGCTCTCTCCCTCCTTCTCCCTCTCCCGACTTCAAAGGGCAGCCAAAAGCGCCGGGGCTTCCAGCGAGGAGGAGCCGCCGCAGTGGCTCCCCCCAGCCCGCGCCGGCCGCTCTTATAGCGGCGACGGGGGGGGAGAGTGGGGGGGGATAAGGGGGGAGAGCGGGCGGAATTCACACCTCTCGGCCCGGGATGCCCCCACCCCGGTTAACCCCTCGCCTCCCCCGGCGCCGGCCCGCGGCCGCCAGCCGGTTTCCTGCGGCGAGACCGGGGGGGCACAGGCGGGGGGAGCCCGCAGCGCACGCATGCGTTCCCTCCGGTCCACGCAGCGCTGGTCCCCCCCCCGGGGCACCTCCCGGGAGGATGCTGGGCTCCCCCACTTCGCGGGGCACCCACCGGGAGGATGCTGCACTCCCCCTCCTCGTGGACCCCCGCGAGGATGCTCTGCTCCCCCCGCTTCCCGGCCATCTCCCGGGAGGATGCTGCTCTCCCCTCCTCGGGTGAGGGAACGCTACCTGCTGCCCCCACCCCTACACCCAGCCCCGCATCGCCGGCCGAAACACTGCCGGTACCCTGGTGGGCAGCGCGAGGTCGCATCCTGCCTCTGGAAGGGCAGAGGGGAGGGGTGGTTGGATATGGACTGCCAGGCTTTTAATTTCACTTTCTGCTGAAAATTAACCCAAATCTTCGAGGTTCTGGGGTTTTGGGGGTTGTTTGCTGAGGCCCGGTGTCAGTCGTGCTGCTTGAAACAGTTTTCTGCCGCGCAGAAAATGGGGTCAGAAAATTGGCTGGGGGCACGTGAAGAGCCGTTTTGGATGAGGACAGACCCCCTGGCTCAGTGACAGCCGTGCACGGGTTGTATCTGGTCTGTGTGTGTGAGAGAGAGAGAAAAGCCTGTGGGTAAAGAAGGCCACAGTTACACAGTGTATATAACCTATAGATGATATATCTGGTCTGTTCTCTGCAGTCAGTACGTGTAAAATGTGGTGAGACACCTCACCTACGTGGCAACACACACTCCCATGCATTCCTCAGCAAGTCCCCCCTGCACGGGCACTGGTGACATCCCATCAGCTCTGAGCAGCCCACCTGAACAATCCCTTCACCCCACCAGAGATTCTTCAGCTCAAGCCTTTACTCCTTCCCCTCTAGACTTGCCCTGCACAGGGCTAAACCAGTGCTCCCAGTGCACCCAAGGCCATCACTGAGGTTATGGCACTGGCTGCTCTTGGACCTTGGTGGCCACGTTCAGCCCTGTCACCATTTGCCACAGGCCAGGAGTGTCCATCTGCAGGGCCTCAGGGTGAGTGCAACCCCACCATGGGGCAGAGATCCCCACACAGCTCCCAACACTCTGCAGGGAATCACTGCAGGTCCACGGTGTTGTTAATTTGGACTCAGTCCTCCCAGGGATGTCTGTGTGACAGAGAATCCGTCCCAAAAAATTTACATGGGAAATGAAGTCTCCTTTTCTGTTTGGCTAAATGTCTGCCAGCCTGTTCTAATTTACCCAGCCAGGTTGATTTGCAACTTGCAATTTTCCATCGGTTGGCTGTGACCAGGACACTGGGAAAATTTAGCACTTGAGTTCACCCAACTTCTGCATTTCAAAATATCCCAGCCCGAGACATGCAGGAGAAAACCCTTTCCGTTTTGGAACAACCAAGAGGGAAAAGTCTGAACACGAGAGGTTTTAAAAGCATCGAATTATTTCACATTGAAAACTCCAGAGCAGCCTTGGTCCATGCGAGCCCCGCCATCCCCCCAGTCCTGGGGTTTGGCAGGAGCTGGGACCCCAGGAGACCCCATGCCTGGGTGACCCCGTTCTGCTGCAGGGATGCCCCAGGGGGAGGAAAGCAGGAGGGTGGGAAGGCTGATCCTGAGGCAAGGGCTGGGGTAGCCATCAACAGGCAAGACACATTCAGTCTGCGCTTCACCAAAAGTTCATCAAAGCCAAAGGATTTTTTTTTTTAAATACTTTTTTTTTTTTTATGAAACAGTTGAGATGACTCAGCGGTTTCTGACGCAATCCCCGTTTCATCGGAAAATTCCTAACCAGCTCCTAGTAGCAACTGATTGCTCCCATAAATCACACGGTGTTATCCCTGGCCGCGGCAGCGTAGCTCACACAGCCCCGGCCCGTCCTCGTGAGATCAGCAGGAGCGATGCCATCGCCTCGATGGCAGCAAAAAACAGCCCCGAGAACAAAACGCATCAGAGGGCAGATCCAAAACACGAATTTCACCCCACAGCTTCGACTCCTGCCACCCTAAAGCCCCCCGGGGGCCGGTGCTGCCCGCCCCCCAGCCCCGGGACTGCCGGCAGGTACGGCATTAATCACCGGCGGCCCGGCTCAGACGACAGCGGGTTTTATCTCCCAGTTTTTGGCAGAAGCGCTAGAAATGGTTTGCAGATGTTATTTACTGCTTTTGGGCTTGGAGTAAATTGAGACAAGATGCACCTGCATGGACAGCGAGAGGCTTTCCCACCCGGGACGGTCGCTGAGGGCTCGTATTGGACTTTCCCAGGGAAATTTAGAATTCAGATGAGAGTCCCTTATCCAGCTCTGCTCCCTGCATCCTGCACTTCAGCAAGGCAGCCCAGTGATCCCAGTGCTGCACATTCACCTCCCGGCACCACACAAAGGAGGCTCAGAGCCTCAGCGAATGTGGGGACGGTGGGCTCATGCCCCGACAGCCACCCCAAGGCACACAGAGCAGAAATCTGCCAGGCTTTCCATCCCAAACCAGTGCCGTGCATAATTCAGAGTGCAAAAAAAAGGAGCAACAGACACTCCAAAATAATCTCCAGCCGGGGGAGAGTCGCCGGCGACTGGCTGCTGGTTTGGCCAGAGAAATGCCTGCAGAGGAAAGGAGTTTCCTTGGCTGAAATGAGTCCAACAAAGTGCTGGGCTGGGCACTAGTGATGCTGGCAGGAGCTGGGGGTGCTCAGCCAAGTGGAGACACTTTGTGTTCCGCAGGATCAGGCCCCCTCTCACTGAGGGAGATCTGGGGAAATCCCTTTGCTGGGGCAGTTTCGTGTAGTAGAGGGACCTCCACCCTTGACCAGGAGCAGAGAGTGATGGTAAGCTCTGATCCAGGCCCAAGACACTGACTGCCTCTCTGTGCTTCCCATGACAGGACACTTTCCCATCCTGACCCACACCTGCCCTCAGACTGCCCAGGGCTGACACCCAGCCCCACTGAGCCCCAGGCACAGCACTAGAGCAGACCCTCCAGGAATGAGATACCACAGAAGCTGTGCTCAGTGAGCCAGAGCCACGGCCTGGCCACGGGTTGCAGTGTTCCAGCACCACTTTCCCAGCAAAATTAGCGCTTTCCTGGCTCAGCTCTTGTGCTGGCACAGCAGTTGGTATGGGTCTGCCACAGCCAGCTCCACTGAAATGCCTGCTCAGGTCCAGGAGTGTGGTCTGGAGTCTGTTGGCCCAGGATCCCCCCAGCAGCTTCGTC